TCAAGAGTTAGAAATGTCCTCATTTTTGAAAGAAAACAATTGCTTTGTCCATTAAAATTACATCAAATTGTTCAAACATACTGCCTAGACATTGTTAATGACAATGACCATGGTTGCTGGAAATGGCTGTTAATGATTGGAATATCTGCACAAATGTAGAGAGGCCCATTATCAGCAACAATTAGTCTTGAGTTCCAGTGGAGTGCTGTCACTTTAAAAGGTTAATTGATCATTAGAAAACCCTGTTGTAATTATCTTAGTACAGCTGAAAACAGAAAATAGATGCAATAAAACTGGGCTTCTTCAGACAAGTTGAGTATTTAGTGCATCGGCAGATGTTGGTTCGACGGCTGAGTCAAAATGGCCCGAAACAAAGAAATGAAACTTCTCAGTCAGTTCTTGGACTGAGGAATGGATGCTATTCCGTGTGAGAAATGGCCAGGAAACTGAATATCTCCTACAATGCTGTGTACTACTCCCTTTACAGAGCAGCACAAACTGGCTTTAAATGCGTTAGAAAGAGGAGCGGAAGACCGCAGTGTACAACTGGGCAAGAAGATACATTTCTTATTGTGTAGTTTGAGAAACGGACACCTCACGGGTCCTCAATTGGCAGCTTCAATAAATGGGACCCACAGCAGACCAGTCTCAATGTCTACAGTGAAGAGGCGACTCCAGGAAGCTGGCCTTCTAGGAAGAGTTGTGAAGAACAAGCCCTATCTGAGAATGGCCAGTGAAAAGAAAATATTGAGATGGACAAAGCAACAGACAATGGATACCGGAAGACTGGAAAAAAGTGTTATGCACAGAGTCCAATTTTGAGGTGTTTGGATCACAAAAGAACATTTATGAGATGCAGACCAAATGAAAAGAGGCTGGAGGAGAGCTTGACATCATCTGTTAAACGTGGGGAGGGAATGTGATGGTCTGGGGCTGCTTTAGTGGGGGTAAAGTTGGAGGTTTGTACAGGGTAAAAGGGATATTGAAAAAGGAAGGCTATCACTCTGTTTTGCAACGCCATGCCATACCCTTTGGACGGCACTTAATTGGAGCCAATATCATCCTACAACAGGACACTGGCCCAAGCACAGCTCCTAACTATGCAAGGGCTGTTTAGAAAAGCAGCAGCCAGCTGGTGTTCTGTGTATAGTGGAGCGGCCAACTCAGTCACCACCCGCTGTTCTGGGAGCAGTTTGACCGAAGTGTGGGAGGAGCTCTGAAGCACGGTGTGAAACATCAGATCACCTCAACAAGACATACGACTAGGTGAACTGGTGTATACAGACTGCCCCCAGTGAGTGTTCACGAGTGTCCTGTGAAGGTCTGGCATCCCACTCAGGAAGTGCCCTCTGCGTCCTTTTTAGAAAAAAAATATGTAAAAATATGAATAATTTTATGTTTTGAAATATAACTCATATGGACGCAATGTGACTTTAAATCTGAATTAATATTCTGGAACAATATGAACACAACCAAGATATGGTATGCTATGACAACTATTAATTACATTTCTATTTAAGGAAAATGAATATGGATTTGCTTCATTGTGCTGAGGGGCTGCGTGATGTGGCTCATAGGGTGAACAGCACTGGCTCGCACCACTAGGGGGTTTGATTCCTAACCTTTCTGGGTCTCTGTGTGGGGGGTGGGCTTTGTACATTCCCCATGGTACAAAGGGGAGGGGGACAAACTGATGTGGTGACTTAAACTTGGAAGTGAACTTATATTATATCAGTTTTCAAGTTATATAGGAAAATCCCTTTAACATTTGCAGACAGCCTATACTGTAACCAATCCAAAGATGACTACAAATGTATTTATATACTAAACCATAAGTGACTGTAAGTGATTCCCAGAAAGTGCACTGATTGTTCATATAGAGTCTTTCATACCAAAAAAACAAATACTTACTAAGAATCACTATTTTTTAAACCAGTTAATGACACTTGGTGCCAGAGGTAACCAAAATGGAAAATTTTGATTTTGGTCACCCTGAACTCAACTTGCTGGGAATTCTCAGCATGGTCGCGTAGCTAAACAAAGAAGATAAAGTGAAATCCTTTACTGTGCCTTAATTTTTAGCATATGAAGCTGAAAAAGGTGTTGAAGGAATTTTGTTTTTGCGAGGAGGGTGGAGATGACACCGATTTTTGTCCAGTTAATATACAGTAACAATCGAGAACTTGTCTGGTTTTTCTGGCGTACAAATTAAAAAGCACATCCTTTTCAGGGGATATTACATCAACCTGAAGAGACAATTCCTTGCAGTGCCAGAATAATCAAGGCATGCAGTGACGGGAATGTTAGATAATGAACAGCCAGTCAGGACAAGCCGCTGGGAACATCAGGAAACAGGAAGTCGCATGTCTGCCTCTATGCGCCTAAACCAGGGGTGTCCAACTCCAGTCCTGAAGGGCCGGAGCCCTGCAGGTCTCCCCTCATCTAACACACCTGATTTAACTCCTTGTGCTAATTACCACACAGCTCTTGAACTGAATCATTTATGGTGGAACAGGGAAAGAACTAAGCTACACAGGGCTCCGCCCCCCCAGGACTGGTGTTGGGCACCCCTGCTCTAAACAAATGGTTCAGGAATCCCATCACAGCTATAGAAAATGCAGTCACACTAATTAAGAGTAAATAAAGAGTTCCTAAAAAGTGACCAGATGGCTGGGATTTTGACCGCAGCCATAGACTACCTAGCTGAAGAACAGCGTACGTGCATCGGAAGCTGATGATTCTCATAACCTTTGCCCTACATTAATACCACAGTTGCTCATAGGTGTAGGTTACAGAGAAGACCCAAATGAATGTGAGCAAGCCCTGAATTATCAAACATGCTCTCAATGTAAGAGTCCTCAGACGGATTAGATCTCCGAGCTACGATCCTAGCAACGGTCCCGGAGTCAGTTAACCAACGCTAAGCTATTATATGCTTAAAACCTACAAAAAAAAAGCATACAAAATATGATCTAAGTTGTAAGTTTGTTTATGTGTTTGTATATTCTGGGGTGGGTTGGCGTCCCATCCTGAGGTATTCCCTGCCTTGCTCCTGTATCCTCTGGGATAGACTCCAGACTCCCGTGACCCTGAATAGGAAAAGCGGATAGTGTAAATAGATGGATGGATGGATGGATGGATGGATGGATGTTTGTTTGTATATATATGGGTATGTACATAAGAAACCGTTTTTAAATGCATTAACTCGATAAGCTGTGATGGCTTAAAATGAATCTTGACAAGGAGAATTAAGAGTGTGTAACGCTAAAAATTCTTCCTGGGGTACAGGAGTCAATACTTAACCATGACATGAATCGCCAGACTGCAGGCTACAGTCCCCTCTCTGCATTTTCACCCATCTCTGGTGTCGTTCACTCTGCGGCGGCCGGAGCCCTTCTAGGTGAGACGCACGCCTTCCGCTGCCCCCTTTCCCCATGGCGCCGCGGCCAGCAGACTGACGAGGCGACAGCCGCGACCGTGGAACATCTGTTTTTAGATTCCCGGGTTTGCCGGCGTCGAGCGGAGGGGCTTTCCCCCAGCGAGCGGGATTTTGTCTTTTGTGGGTGCCGACACCCCCACTGTCTTGTTCTTCTCGATGCTGTTTATATTTGTGCCGTATACATTCAGCAGAGCTCAAGACAAAAATAACAGCAATATGTGTATGAGTTTCTCTTTCATCAAATTCTACTGTTTTTCTTCTTTTTCCTCCTGCTACTACTATTACTATTAGTAATAATATTCCATCACTTATCTTGGTCAGGTAAGGTAATAATAATAATAATAATAATAATAATAATAATAATAATAATAATAATAATAATAATAATAATAATGTGTTGCCTCACAGGATGCCACCAGGTATGCTAATCTCTACCTATTAGCAGTTTGGTCAATTCTGGTTCTCGGAATTGCCCACAATGTGCGGCTGTGTGTGTGGCCTGTGACACTGATATCCTGAACAGGGTCTTTCCCTCCCCTGTGACTCCTGGGACAGACTCGTACCCCTCCCCTGTGCCTCCTGGGACAGACTCGTACCCCTTCCCTGTGCCTCCTGGGACAGACTCGTACCCCTTCCCTGTGACTCCTGGGACAGACTCGTACCCCTCCCCTGTGCCTCCTGGGACAGACTCGTACCCCTTCCCTGTGACTCTGTACTGGACAGACAGTGTATAATTGTTAATTTTTGCATTTTCTTTCTTGTAAAACATTAGGAACACCTACTCATTCCCTGAAACCAAGATGAATCATTGTTTGATTTTGCCTGAATGGGTGTAAATGCAGGGAAGAGGCAGGTTTAATTTAAAAAGGATTTTTAAGGCTTGAGACAGCTGAGAGATGGATTGCGTGTGTGAGATCATTAGAGATCCCAGCCAGCCCAACAATGGCCCCTGCTCTGTGCTGATGTCAGGGAAACGCTACCATTGGCCAAAAGGTCAGCATGGAAAGGAGGAGGAGGTGCTTATTATCCCAGGTGATATGGATCCTTAACGAAGGCAGGACCTGAGGAGGTGCTTATTATCCCAGGTGATATGGATCCTTAACGAAGGCAGTGTTTAGGACCTGAGCAACTGACATTCCTGCCTACTCAACTTAGACATGTACAATTTACATCAGTAAATACTTATTTATTCTTAGAATTATGTGAATTTCACACTATGGATATGCATGATTATTACTGTACTTGTTTTCTTATGTCCTGTGTCTTATCTCTTTATATGTGGCTCCCTTTTATATTTATGTATATCTCTCATACTTATGTCGCCTGCTCAATAGGCAATACTGCATTTCATTGCACAGTGTATTCAGTATAACTGTGCATGTGACAAATAAAACTTTGAACTTTGAACTTGAGGGAGAATGGACAGAAAAACATCCATTCTCAACACACCATGTGGAGTCCATGTTGTGGTGAACTGAGGCTTATCTGAGGGCCAAACAGGGGGGGCAGCGCAATATTAAACTACACTAAAATTCAGAGATACAAAAGCGTTATTCAGCCATTCGAAACTATTGATCATTTATTTTTTTAACAATTTGTTTTACACTTAAAGCATTGAGTTTTAAATACACTGCCTTAGTACAGATCTTCCCTTTAGCTCCTTTTTTGTGAAACATCTGGAAAAAATGTACAGGTAGAAAATTAACGATTACAGTAATTAAACATCATTGATCAATCGACCAGGTATATGAATGAGGGAAATGTGGAGGAGACGTTACAAGAGGGAAGACCAATGAGAGACTAAGTAGTGTTATCATACGAATAAAGACTCGTCCATCTTACCATGTTCCAGGATCGGAAAATATGATTTATGCCATTTCGTCAAGTTGACAATATTCTGAAAAAGAAACACTTCTGGCTCATTTCCTCCCTCACCTTTTGGTGACTGATATATGCATCTATGTGAACAGCTGTCAAAAAGTTAGCCATGTATGAATCTTTCACCTGCATCCACTTTTGACAGGTTCTGCTATAAGACGAATCTAACCTTTTTCTTGTGGCAGGACAAAAACGTTCCTCATTCCAAGGCAGGACACCTTCATTTGAAATTCCTTGATCATTTCCGTGCTGACGGAAGCACTGCGAGCTGGACACAGAAGACGGACATATGAGGCAGAGGAACGGAGGCAGATGCTGCCACACAGTTTGGTTAGACACCGTTGTTGAAGAAATTCACATTTACGTTCATTTATTTAGTAGATGCTTTTGTCCAAAGTGATGCACTAGTGAGGAGACCTTAGGGTCAGCCAGCACCTCCGGAGCCTTGGCACACATCATCATCATCATCATCATCATTGTTGTTGTAGTATTCACAAACAATAGTATTGACAATGGGAACAATCACTGAGGATTCAGTGGTTGTTGAAGTCATAAGGAGAGACTTTGCCTGACCGTAAAACAAGACTCTGTTCAAGGGGGGTTGCTGCTCTGACTCCTGCAGGAAAATGCACTCAGAGCAGTTTAGCAGCCGGCCGCTCCACAGCGGGCTGAGTCTCTCTGGGATGCCTGTATACAAAACACGATAAGCTAGTCGGCCGATTAGCCACCTGTGGATGCTAATTAATGGTAACCACAAGCTGAACACTGAACTCTCGAGGGGGGGGGGGATTTGGTGTGAGCTGAAAACAAAAAAGTGACAAAGTGGTTGAAACGCAACTGTACATGGAAAAACCCCTACTGTCACTTGTCAAGTGAACGGGACTTTAGAAAGTCAGGCTGCTGGAATCATGTAGTTTAACCCTTGTACAGATTGGAATCAATTTGACCCCAAGCACTTTTAAAATTAAAAAAAATAGCAGTGGCCTGCATCACTGTGGAGTGGCCTGTATCACTGTGGAGTGGCCTGCATCACTGTGGAGTGGCTTGTGGCGTTCTGGTGTGTGTGCATGAATTTGTGAGAGTGAAACAGAAAAAAGAGAAACAGATGCGCATACAGAGAGAGAGACAGACAGAGAACATGTGACATACCATCTCGCTCCAAGTCATCTCTGCCGGGCCGTATGTGATAGGGCCAGACTTCCTTTATGCAGCGATTTCCACTGAAATGGTACAAGAGATAATCAAATTCAGCATGTTACTTTTTTTTAACACACTCTCACTAGATTATATTCTAAACATGGATAACAACAGAAAGTAGTAAAATACCCAGCAATCTACTATAAATAGACTATGGCGTTCTTCCCCCTAGAACTAGCTAGAGCTTTAATACAAAGGCCAGCTTTATCACTATGTACACAAGTAGTTACCCATTACACATTAACCAAACACTACCATTTCTCTTCCTGTGGAGATTTTTAAGTTGATCAGTGTTCATTGCATTCATTGTTAATCTGTCATAATGGTCAATGTAATTCTGCATTAAAATAACAAAAAAATTATGATGTGAAAACAATTTTAAAAACTGCATATTAGGTGTCCCAACTGGCAAACAATGTGCAGTCTTTTGAATGCCCTTCCCCCTCACTTACACTCGAATGGATCCATTGAACAGGAGTGTGTTTGCATTGGCGGCCTCCTGGAGGACAATGATGGTACTGTCTACTGCTCTGAATTTGTTTACATCCGAGTCCCTCTCTCCAGCCACTGCAATGAAATACCAACTGCCTAGATACTGCAGAGAAGGAAGCACTGTATTAAGAAATTTCACTGGAATGCCATATGTATCTCAATATATACAGTACTGTACAAAAGTCTTAGGCAGTCAAAGAAAATGTTTAAAGCTCTTTATCTGAGTAGTAAGTGTATATTTGCTCAGAAAAAAAAACACAATTTGACATCAGAATATGTGCGTATAAAGAGTAACACAATAAACACTAACAATTACTTCTGTTCTTCAAAAAGTTACTGATATCTATTTGGATGGCTAGATGAGTCAAGAAAATACACGGGTGCATTGGATGGTTCCTGCAAATGCTGGGGTGACCTGGGAGGGGGTTCTGAAATGGCTAAGCTGACACACTTTAGCAGACATATATTATGGTTTTACACCAACATGAAGACCATTATTTTCTTTGACTGCCCAAGACAGTACTGTTTGTGTGTGTGTGTGTGTGTGTGTGTGTGTGTGTCATCATTAAAACAAGGGAAGGGGAGCTTCTGTGACACACTGTACGAACAGTGGGCTTTTCATGTATCACTCCATAAAAACTGGATTTTTTTTGATTACTTATTCCCGTCTCAAAAACAAAACACAATTTCCATATTAAATAAAATGTTATATTCATTTTCCGCATTTATATTTTGAGATGTAAAAAATTAGACTTTAAAACGAATCCCAAAAAAACTCAAAAATCAAAAAAAACAAACAAAAAAAAAACTTCCAAAACTACACAACGTGCCAAAGTCTCACCTGCTTGGTATCGATGTTGCCCATGGACAGGATCTCAGGAGGGGTGCAAGGCGTAAGTGAATGTAACAATAGCCCAACTACGTGTAAAAGGAATGTCCATGCTTCAGTGATCATAATGAACCCTTCAACAAAATGAACAGCATCGAATGTGCAGCCTATCACTTCCTTTGACTTTCTCCTCTAGCTGCCTGACAAGACTCATAATTATTAACTAGTTTGTTTTTACTGATGTCCACCCACAGATGTAACTCTTATTCTCCCAACTTAGGTAAATGTAACCTTCCCTTCACCCCTGGGGTTATTAATAGTGCTGGTTTTGCTCCACATCCCATTTCTCCTTTATATTAAAAGTATAGCTAATATTTTCAGAATATGCATTATGTACTATAGTCCAAGGTTTAATTCAGAAGTACACTGATAGCAAACTAAAGGAAAAACTGAATATGCTAGGCTTGATACAATTCACTTTTTTGTATCACAAAATATTCAAAAGACAATTCTTCTGTCTTTTTGATTATTTATAAATCAGGGTGACAGAATTTCAAATGTGGTGTGGTTTAGTTATTGTACATTAAGGTAATTGTAGCTGGAGGAAGGTCATTAAATTAGATAATTTGGACAGTTTAAGCAATTTTACTGACATGAAAATAAATACCATGGCAGGACGTCTGGCATAAAGATTAATCCCTCTATCTTGCAATTCTTTGTCCACTACAGGCTCATTGAAGGGGCCTAATTTCCTCAAGATCCTGTTCATTTGCGACAGCAAGAAAGAATGTGAGACTGATAGGCAGACTGCGTCTGTGGTTAAAGTTTTGCAGGACCTGACCCGGATAATAGTGGGGAAGCAGGAGTTACTTCAGATGCAGCTCTCAGTTTCCTGATTATCTATGTCCCTATTCTCACCCATGGCCATGAACTGGGGGTGACGACTAAAGGAACAAGATTGTGTCCAGTTCACTCTCCAGAGCAGCGCGATCACCTCAGAAATCCAAAAGGACCTTGAAAGAGATCGGAGAGAAGTCAGCTGAGGTAGTACGGGCTTCTTATGGGGGTACCACCGGGTTGGCACTGAAGGGAGCTGTTCCGGACGATACCCACTGTGCCGAGTCAGACCAAGGACACACTGGAGGGATTATAGCTCCCAGCTGGCTTAGGAACATCTGGGGATCCCTTAGAACAAGCGAGAGTCTGTGGCTTTGGAAAGAGATGTGTGGTCTGACCTGCTCAACTTGCTCACTAGGAGAAGTGGGATGAGGATGATAATGGGTGATAAAATATCCCTGAACTTGTCCTTGGGTGTCGTATTTAATATCATTGCAATAATTTCATCATCAATAAATTATTAAAAATCGATACTAATCTTTTGAACTTGATATCAGAAAATGCAAATACTTAACAATATATCAAATCCATGGCCAAAAACCAAATGAACAATGAAAAAGGGGATCAGAGAACACCCTGCAAGTGGATTCACTAATTAAAATTATAAGACACATCTGACAATGTCTTTTGATGCAAAGAGTGCCTGGAGAATGGTAAGTAAAGTCTCATCTTAAAAACTGTATACAAATGCATACATAATGGAGACAGAACTTCGTGCAATGCAGTTGTTTTCCCCCAAAGAAATAGATCAGGGAGTAATGACCATAGTGGAATGAACTGATTAAAAAACATGTATTCACGCCGCTTATGATGTGTTTAATTACGATTGTCATAACCGAATCAGAAAATTCTAGGCGTTTAAGACGGACAGGCTCATTCGAGACGCTACGTCACATGGGTCCTTGTCGCATCAGGAAAAAAACTGAATAACAAATCACCAAGGAGGTTCAATTACAGCTGTTTTAAAACTTTAACTTAAACATCTGTCAGCTATATAACCAACCAAGACTCGGACGGAGTGAGAATTTTATCCCGAAAAGAGCAAGCTTGAAGGTAATACGGTATTCCGAAGTGATGGTTTGCAGTGTTCATCTGGGCCGTGTTGCTAATGCGGCTAGCTAGTAGTGTGAGTTGCACTAGACAGTCGGCTAACTCTTAAGTTACTGAAGTAGAACTGACAAGCGCTAGGATGATATCATACGCCCTAAAATTAATTTCAGTGACTTGAATCGACACATTAACAGTAATATCTACTAATCAGGCCGTTCACAATATTTTTGGTTACTTCGTTTTATTTTGTTCTATTAACCTGCATACGCACTTTGCAAATTTAACTACAGTTAATATCAGCTAAGAATTACTAACGGGAAAAAAAATAACTTGTCGCTCGTTAATAGTTGTGGGTACTGGTTTGACTTGGGTGTTCTCGAATTGACAAAGCCCGTCTGCAGTAATAAATCATAACAAGTCCTGTATTGTATGAACATTGCCTACATGAGACCCGTCACAGAAATTATCTGACTGTTTCTAGCTAATAAAAGCCCTTTGTGTCACTGTAGGTTGAGATTTGGGTATGTGGTTAAAGGAACATAATAAGAGATGGTGCTTTTCTTTAAAATCCCTTAAGCCGTTCTTTTAAGATCTTACTTTTATTAGAAGATTTTGTCGTCCATAAATAAAATCACACTCAACGTCATGATTGTTAAATTATTTTAAAAGTAACAGATAGCCAATAATTCTTGTAATATCCTTATGTATGCATAATTGATTATTTTGAGGGCAGAGTAAATTAACCCCTCCCTCCACAAAATATAGGATACAGCATTCCGTTGTTATTCTCGTACTATAATGGAGCTCTGCACATTTGTAGTTATTGTTGATCTGTAGTTTCACACTTTTTGTGCAGACCTCTGAAGTTGCAGGCAATGCACCTGGCAATTTGGAAGTAGAATATATATGTAGGCCTACTATATAGATTTTGATTCTGTTTAAAGTTATAAGGGCAGTTAAGGACAGCATTGGGCTTAGTGGTGAGCGCTCCTACACCTCATTGTTTTGAATCCTACATCCACTCTGTGTTTGCGGGGAGTTTGCATGTTTACCCTCCATCATGTAGTTTCCTCCTACAGGCCAAAGACAGACAGTTTGACTAACTGGCTTCTCATAGTATGTGATGTAATATACCCGTAGTATGTAATGTGTCTATGTACCCTGCAGTGGATTGGCGTCAGGGTGTATTCTAGCCTTATACCCTGTGCTGCCTGGTATAGACTCTAATCCCCTCTGCAACCCTGGCCGTGGTCAGTGGTTGGAAGATGGGTAGGTATAAATTACATGAACACAATCTTTACCAATAACACTTGAGTTAAATGTATGAATACATAGGCACAATTTTAGGTAGATTGCCATTCAGTTAAATGTGGGGTTTTCTGTGAGCTTTAGGAGGATGCAAAATATTAATTGTATTATCTCCATAGATTGACATTTGCTGCATATGCCCCATTTTAGCCACAGTGGAATTTACTTTAATATGTTTAATGTGGGTACTTTTCTGTCCGGTAAATTCATTTAATACTAATGATTATGATTCAACATCTGTAATAATGTCTGGGGAGGTCCACACATTTCAGTTCTCATATTTAAACAATATTTTAGCCCTCAAGGACGAAATTAAAGTGGACATAATTACCACTGTATCCGTTTTGTTGTTGAATTCCCATTTATAAACATCAGTGACATAGCATGTGGTTCAGCCCTGTGCTTTACTGATGGGGATAAATTTATCTCAAGGCTGCCACAAGGTTAACTTTTGAAAGAACCTATTGTGCTTCATCATGTGTGGGTTCTGGTGGCCAATTAACAGGGCATGGGCACAATGGTTACCAACGTTTGTTCCTTCCAAATGTTCGGTCAGACTGAAACCTTGATATGACTCTTAAATTATATGCTTCACAACCTATTGTAGTCTGTTGAGGTATCTTATGTCAAGATCACATGATACCTAAATCGGGATTTTCATAGTGTTTTCCGGTCATGAGATATGTTACTCAGTATTTCAGCCATATTTTGTAATTGAGATCACAAAGTCTGGAATATTTGTTCAGTTCCCCTTTGGTGCTTTTTAATAATACGCATAACTGCAACTTTATCAGAGTGATACACAGTACGTGTAACAAGTCTGGACACACCTGCAAAAAATCATTTGTTTTTCAATAATAAAGCTACCCTAAGCTCACCTTGAGGTTATGCAGTAAGTACTCTCTTGTGAACAAGGAAAGGTATGCAGTGCTGTGGCAGATGAGCTGCGCCCCACAATACACCCCCGACCCAAAGCCCATAGAGGTAGATTTGATTGCAGAGTAAGCTAAAGGTGGCCATCTCATACCCAGAAGTTATGGAAACTCCGTCAGGACTGTTGTAGAAGCATTCCAGGAGTCAACATCTGGAAGCTGGTTGAAAGAATGCCAAGAGTCTGCTGACATCAGAGCAAGAGGGGGCTTTTTAAAGAGTCTGAAATTTGAGAAAATTTTGAGATCTTGAACACTCCTCTTGGACGTTGTAATATGATATGTAATTGCCTCGAGGCCTTCAATTATACAGTGAATAACTAAAATAGAGACAAAAAAATTAGAAGCAGGCGTGTCCAGACTTTTGACTGGTACTGTAAATGATTATTATACGACTAAATTCTCCATCTTTTTATTAATGTCCAGAGTTTCTATCATATTGCACTTTAACAGCATTGTGCAAAATGTCTTGATTGTGCACTTAAAGAAAATGTTTTTTGGCTACAAAGGTAGTAAATGTGTATATTGAGAAAGACAATTTAACATTAGAATATATGTAAATTAACAGTGATACTAAAAATAACCAAGAATTTTGTTAAATTTCACCACCAGCTCAACTAATTAAGTAATTAACTCAATGAAGTATAGATTAGCCAAACAAGGCGTAGCACTGGGGTGATTTTAGAAGCTTTGAAATGGCTAAGCTAAAATTTTGACAAACTATCATAGTTTTACACTTGATCATTTAAAGATCATTTTCTTTGACTGCCTGTGACTTTTGTGCATTAACTGTACATTTTTATGTAACCTGTAAAGCTGGATTAATGGGCAGTTTAACTCTGCTAGTAATGGGAACTAAGGGTGACGATACCAGGCTATGAGCTGCAATAAAATTGTATTTAAACTTAAAGACTTCTTTGAAGTCATAAGGGGTGTCTTCTATAGAATGATTTGATACATGAATCCATGGCATTACACAGAGATCTATGTTTGTTTCACCTTCTCTGTTTAGGTGGATAGGCATGGGTGAGCCTGGTGATATCGAGGTAACTGTGAAGACTCTGGACTCGCAGAGCCGAAGTTACTCGGTCAGAAGAGAAGTAGGTGTTTCTATGACTTTTCTCATTTTACAGAATAAAGTTCAGATCGATTAGCATGACATGGGCATAGCTGATCGATGGCACAGACCCACAGCATATTTTACAGAAGTGAACATTTCCTTTTCCTGTATTTTACCACATGGAGTACAAGAGCAGTGAGCCTATAAAACAAAAAATATTTACCCGAAATAAACTATAGCTAAACGGTACTTATCTACCAACAGAATGTGTCAAATAAGTTGGTGATGTTGCTGTGAGTTATGTCAACAGACACAAATCCGTGTCAACAAATACCACTTGATTACAGGTGACAGGTGTAATATTTGGCTGGATGCCAGTTTTTTTGGTTCTATATAGATGTTTACTTATGGCTACAATTCGCTAAACAGATTAGTAGTAATATAAGTATTATAATATGAATGAGAGGTGTATTGTGACACCCAAGAGTTAGTGATCTGTATAAATACGGCTTATCCTTATGTTTATTAAATGTCACTTTAAACTGCAAAAAGTACCACCACAGCACTAGCATCTTTTACCTTGTTTAACCACAATATCTCCACTTTTTTTTAGATGTTGTTGCTGAGCTGTCCCTTTCTACACTGCTCTTCAGTGCTTATCGCTTCCATGACAGTCAAAACAGTAGTATGTGGCTCAGCTAAATGAATTTAATAAACGCAATGAAACGCCAAATTTATACTACTTTTGGGTATTACAATACACCTCTCGTTTTAATCACACTACCGATCTGCTTATCAAATTATGGGCATAAGTAAACACCTGTATAGTACGCAAGTAAATACCCGTGGAGTACTTGCATATCGTGATTATATCTCAAAGTGATATTGTGCGGCGCTAGTTTCACAAGAAGAAATCCCATCAAATAATGGCTAATAGCATCTGTTAAGTCAGCCCTAGTTCCAACAGGAGAGCTGGGTTTTGTTCATTCTAGGGACTTAATTACAATAGCATTGTACCATTTTACATCTAGAGTAATTCATGCTTTGCAGGTGTGATGAAAAACACTAAAGAAGGGGTCTATATAAATCACTGTCATCAGGTGCAGGAGAGGCACAAAAACATGACATCATTTTTAAATGCTGTAGGAGTTTCCACTGTTCATAATTAATGCAAATACAATCATCCATAATATTTATAATTATACTCTTGTGGGACGAATTGTGTACTGTTTTGTTTATGAGCTCAAACTTATCTCTCATTCCTGACTACAGAAACATGGGTGCTTTGTCCGGGGCTTTGTTACTGAAACTCCCATGATGCATTGTCCTGATTGATTCCCTCCTGTCAGCTGACGGTGAAGCAGTTTAAGGAACACATCTCTGAGTCTGTTGGGATTCCTGTGGACAAGCAGAGGCTCATCTATCAGGGCAGGGTATTGCAGGATGAGAAGACACTGACCGACTACAGTGAGTATCACGGCTCCTCTCCCGGTTATTATTGTATCGCCTCTGGTTAAACAAGAAAGTTTCTGTAGGTGGTTGACAAACTGCAGTTTTTTAATGTGTAATTAAACTTTTTTTTTTTTAATGTTCCACTGGTTATACTTTTTCATATCCCCATGTTATTCTAGGCAGAATGCAGGCGCTGTATATTTTTATTAATCACTTCTGACATTGTCACGTGGGCGTGCGTTCCAGCCGTATGGGCTACAGTGTCTCTTGCTGACTGTAACATTACAGAGGGATGCTTTGCTCTGCATTTAGCATTTTCCTCCCCTTCTGATGTGTGAATCGCCGCGATAGGAAAAACTGACTCAATATTAGCACAAAAACACCCTCAACATGGATCACCGGGGCGAGAGAAACACCTATTGTTGTTTGCTTTTCCTTTTTTTAAACTCATCACGGTGTCAACATTTAAATACACCTACTGTACTTCTATGTAGCTATGGAGGAAAACGCCTTGCCTTAAAGCGTGTTGTCAGTCTCAGACATAAATGGCCTTTCCTATTATTGTTGCACATAGCCAAAACTTAGGGAAAAAACAATGTCACATTTAAATTTGAAAATTACACACTTCTAACTTTCTACTTTGTGTTCCATAGAATAGTGCTGTGCTTTGTCGCTGTTTTGATTGTTATGCTAGTTTTACTTGGATTTCGGCTATTTGAGGGGGGGGGCCCTTTCGCCCAGAGAGTGGGCACCGTCCCGGCAACAAGTCATTCCTGCCATGATTGTTTCCTCACGGCCATACAGGAGCTGACAGCCACAAATGGGGTTTTATTCTCCTACTGCTACACTGACTCTACGGCAAGGTGACCAGGCAGCATGCAGACTCAAGCTTTCCTCATCTTCATCTGTCCGCCCTCCTCTTCATTTTCCTCTCAGATGTGGAAGGCAAAGTCATCCACTTGGTGGAGAGGGCCCCCCCCCAGACGACGCAGCCGGGGACGGGAGCTGGGGGCACAGAGGGGTCGGTCCCACCCCCCCATTCCTCCTCCACCACTTCCCAGGGCGCCCCGCACATTCCGCCGCACGACCGTAATGCCAACAGCTATGTCATGCTGGGGACTTTCAACTTGCCTGTGAACGTTGTGGACCCGCAGCAGATCCAGGTGGAGTCTGTCTTACCTCGCATTCCTGGCTTTGATCAGTTTTCCTCTCTCCATGCTTATTGTTACGTGTCTTAGCAGAAGGGTGAAAGAATGGGCTTAATTGGGTTCTTGGGGCTGATTGTGCCAACGTACCGTGATGTGTTCTGTTCCAACAGTCAGTAAATATGACCAATGATGGCAGTCTCTCTCTCCCTCATCTGTGTCTCTCTCGTAGATGTCAGTCCAGCAGGTGCTGTCAGGCCTGGGAGAGAGCGGGAGAAATGCTCGCGTGGTCACCAACACAGCTGTAAGCATGCGGGGGTCTGGGCAGGCTGGCTCCCGTGGAGCCACAGTAGCTGGTGACGGCCTCCTCTCCGTCTGTCTCAGGGCAACGGCTCCGTGGACGTGCACGTCAACGTGGACCAGGCGATGCAGAGCGAGCCCAGGCTGCGGCTGCTGCTGGCGGAGAACCTGCTGAGGGACGTGGACTCCGTCATCCTCAGGCTGGAGGTACCGCTGAAGAACATAGCATCTGGCGATAGGTGTAACATCAGTGGTTCCAGTCTGAAGTAAACCCCCCTCCCTCTGCTTTTGTGTATGAAGGCTGGGATCGTGTTACAGACAGTCAGCAGCTGTTCTGTGCTGTGTCTTTCCTCTCTGACACGTGATGCAGGACCAGGCCGGCGGAACATCATCTCCACAAGACTCCGCCGCTCCTGCCTCCTCGTCCTCCTCCGCCACCGTGCCCCAGGCGCAGCCTGCTGAAGCCTCCCCCACTCCACCTCCACCCTCTTCTTCCTCGACATCCACTCAGACTGATGGACCCCCGTCCTCGGGACCCAAGTAAAACTTTTACTTATTAATTCTGAAGCTTGTTTTGCGCGTTATGGACACTGAGCTCGTTCTGAAAACACGTGTGGTTTCCCCTGTTCTCCATATAGCCACCCCAGTCCCTTGGAGCTGCTGGACATACTGGTGGAGCTGAGGAGGGTGGAGGACAGGCTGCAGCCCTTCGTTCAGAGAGCGCACTCCATCCTGGGGGCCGCCACCTCCACCGACTACAACAACAATGTAAGCAGGAAAGGTTTTATGTCTCTGATTCGTTTTAATTACATACTTGGCACGTGGCTGTCTGATGCAAACTTCATATGTCCACTTTAGGATGATTATGACGCCTAATTGACCAATGAAAAGATGTTACATAGATGACTTCATAAAACTAATATTTATGGTTGTACTAGTTACAATCAGTGCATCTCTAATAGAAATGGTATCGGCTAATACAGCAAGAATCGGCCGACGGTTAAAAATGAGCCAATATTTACCATCAATAATCCCCTTTAAAATGGTGACCTATACTGCTTTGCACACCCCTATACTAAACGGTTAAGTAAATGCTACTTTAGCGAAAATGAAGTTAGAAATGCATTTTGCAGGTATTGTGCTACTAAAATTTCACAAGGAGAATCTACTAATGAACATTTCAGCAGAACAAATATGGTTGTTCACCTTGAGATGAAACAGTGAAGAGTTTTTGAAAAACACATCTATTCCTTTAAAGAAGACTGCTGTACTGGCGAATAACCCTTCATGATCAACCCTTCTGTGTTACAAATGTTATAAATATTACAACTGTTTACATCTTATATAAATATTATATAAAAACATATGAAAAATATATAAGAAGGACTGTTGTTGTATGCCAAATAAATACTACTTCATATTTTTGGAATGTGATTTATTTATCTTTTAATTTATTTGGGTGAAGTGTGCCGTTAAACTTATTTAAACAAAACAATCAGTACCGGTACTGGTGTAAGTTTTCCAAATAATCCGCTATCAAGATAAGCCAGAAATTTCCTTATTGCCGCATTTATTAATTTGTATTTCTGATGGTGGTTTGTACGCGTTACTTCATATTACTAATTTTAATGTTAACGTTGACAGATAGTTAGCTAACTAACATGAATATAAAGCGAGATTAGTTTGTATGTTAACACTGACATATTTGCCCCACGATAATGATCCATTAGTACATTAAGCCGTTCACTGACGACTGTAACAATAGGTTTCCATTTGTGGTGCTAATGGAGTCTCATTGTGTGGTTTTCGGTTTATTTTGTAGTTTCTGAGAAAATGTGTTTTTTTTTCTCCACCTTCCTGAAATAATGGATTTCAGGAAATAAGTGTTTTTCTTGGACAGCGACGGTTTCCTGTTGCCGGAGGTGTTCATTAGTCTCAGGGTGATCCTTTCTCAGGTACAGGAGAGAGAAGACGACCAGCGGGTTTTGAACCTGGTGGGGGAGGCTCTCCGTCCCCTAGGCAACGCGCTCGTCGCCCTCAGCGACCTACGCTGCAACCTTCTGGCCCCCCCCCCTCGCCACCTGCACGTGATCCGGCCCATATCCCACTACACCTCCCCTGTGATGCTGCCTGGTGGGATGCACCATATCCCCATTCCGGTGGGTGGTCACTCAGTTTGTTTAATAGCATTATAGAAATTAACCTATAACCCGAGAGTTCTGGTTAAATGCATTCATCTCAGCAGAGGGATTTTCATTGTAAGTTTCGGTGTGCCGTTTAAATCTGCCGGCAGATGAACATGGGAGCGACAGTGACTATGACCACCAATGGCAGGCAGGCCCCTGAAGCCCAGACCCCGCCCACTCCGGCCACAGGCCAATCAGAGCAAGCGGAAAATGGACAGGTCCCGCCACCGCAGCCCGCTTCTGCCAATCAGCCAGCACAAGGACAGACAGGGCCGAGGGTTATTCGAATCAGTCATCAGACAAGGGAGCCGGTGGTGGTGATGCAGATGAACCTGGATGGTGCGTCTCCTCTCTGACCTGTGTGTCTTGTCATTGTTGTTATGCTTTTGACACTTTACTCAGCCTGTTTTTTTTTTTGTACATAGACTCTGCTGCACCTCAGGCTTCAGGACAACAGACAGGAGCTGGAACTGGACAGACAGGTGGGTCAGGATCCGGTTTTGCATCCCTGCCCCTGCGGTGCATTCACAGGTCACTGTGAATTCTGTTCCAGAAGGTTGTTTGTTCGCATCTCTGCCTGTTTAAAGATCCATGTTGCCTACTATGGCGGCTGTATGACCTGCCAGTAATGCCATTTGTGAGTCCGCCTCGTTTACCTTCTCTCCAGGGACCGCGGCCCCTCCTCTCATCCCCGGCCTCCCGCCCGAGTTCATGCAGGCCATCGTGAACCAGGTCACGCAGCAGGCCGTGGCAATGGCGGCTGCTGCCTCCGGGGGGCAGCAGGCGACCCAGGGCTCCAGTGTGAGTGCGGGAGAGACTGCCCCCAATGCACCCCAAGCCAGGGTAGTAATAACCCACCCCTTCTCCCCCATGAACACGCAGTCCAACTTCGGGAGCAGAGGAGCCACTATCAATATAAGGGCAACGGTTCCCCCCACTGGGGGCCAGCAGCCTGTGCAGGTGTAGTGCTCTTTACTGTCGAAGCATGCCTTTGGTCAGCTGTCATTTCGCTGTCTTCAGTACCACTGGCGTCGTTGGTCTCGTCTGGTTTGTGAGATAAATCCAGATTAAAATAAATTCTATTAATCTATTTGACATATTTAATTTGATTTCAGTAATAGTTTTTTTTGGTCGTGGTCTTTTTTATTTGTGGGTTTTGCTTGAATGATGAGTCATATGATTGTCCCCTGGTCACCGGAAGGGGAGTGCAGCTCCTTCCTGACTAAAACGCTGCCATGAACACACACACTACCGGTTTTATGTCAGGCTTTAAGTTGCTGATGCTTTAGGAAGTGGACTTTTGAGGCTGTTCGAGGCTAACGGTGCTTCTAGTCAGCTTCGCTGAACGTGTCTTGCTGATGTGGTCAATACAGTCTTATTAAATGCTGTTGTATTGATTAGTGACCCCGTAGGGACAGCTTATGACAATGCGATCTCCCGTAGTGCTCTAATCCCTCTTATCAGTGGCTGAAAATGGTGCTGTACTGATATAAGCAGCCATGTAATACTGTGACAATAGTAACACTTCATTTTGGGAATTTCATGCAGAGAGCCTGTACACATATGACACTCGAAACGGATTAGTCACTTAGTGATCTCATATGTTTCGTAATGGCACTATAACAGACGCAGCCCTATTTCATCACTGTCCCTAAAAATGTTTGCAGCGACTGACTCGCCTTTAACACACATTAAAGCTGTTTGACCAAGATAAGCTGGCTTTCTGATATAGTAAGACACTATAGCTATTTAATATTAAAGATCACAGCCTCTCGTGTGCACTTGCGCCATCTTCTGGTTAGTGCTGCATAACGCAGCTTAGTCTTCCTCCTCGACTGTGCTGCAGTGTCACCTTCTTCATCTCTCTCCAGATGATCAACGGCCTGGTGGGCCAGCTGCTGATGCCTGTTCACATCGGTAGGTACATCTCTGTAGTGTTATTTATGCTTTTCTCTCTTGTCTGTTGCTGGATTCACTGCAGTAAACCTGGCGCATGGCTTAAATATTTCACATATTTCATGTTATGTTTAGGCATCTAAAGGATATGGTGCGCTTTCACTTTGTTTTTAATAAGTTGCTATCAAACCCTGAAATATTCTTTATAAGTGATTTTTTTTTTTGTGAGTATATTCAGGATGTCAAACTGATATTCTGTCGTGTTTGTTTCTTTCCAGCGAATCACACCTCCACCGCCTCTTCAACCCATTCCTTTTCTTTTTCCACGTCCTCCTCCTCTGCCCCCACTACCTCTGCCCCCCCTCAAACGAATTCCTCTGAAACTTTGCACCAAGCGTCGGCCAACGCAGCCGCCCCCGGCCCGGGCCCGGACGGGTCGGCCCCTCCCCAGGCAGCGACCCCCGAGGGTAACCTGGCCCAGCTGCTGGGGTCTGTGCTGGGGGGGGCGGCAGCCGCCGGCTCCGTAGGCTCTGGGATGCCACCGTCATTCACTGTCACCATGCCTGGGATCCCCTCCTTCATACAGGGAGTGACAGACTTCATTCAGGTCAGCGTGGAGCCTGTTTCCTGCATTACACTGAAGATGGCCCAAGTCCACGGGTGTCAAGCTCCAGTCCTGGGGGGCCGGAGCCCTGCTCATTTTTGGGTTTCCCCTCATTTAACACACCTGAATTACCACATAGCTCCGGAGCTGAATCATTTGTGGTGGGACAGGGAAAGAACTAAGCTGCAGGGGGCTCCGGCCCCCCAGGACTGGAGTTTGACACCCCTGCCTTAGTCTAACAAGTACTTTGCTGAAAGGTTGATTCTAAAATCAAAAAGGATAGTTTTAGGTGGAAATTTGCAGCCAAATTAGCCAATGGTAATCAGACAAACAAGTTTAGACACTAAAACTCTTGGTATGAGAACGAAAGGCCTGAAACAGGAAATAAAATGATGAAATATGGCCTGGGGCAATCCGAGCATTATGGATGTGACACTTAGACTCAGCTTGGCAACCATGAACAAATTTAGTATCAATGAGTCAATTTTTCCATATAGTACAGCATTAGTCAAAAGTTTGGAGACACCTCCACATAGAAGGTTATTTTTTATATTTTTTACATTTTAGAATTATTCTAAAGACATCAAAATTATAAAGTAGCGTTTGTGGATTATGCACTGACAAAAAAAATATTTAAAAAAACGTTGGGGAGGTAGGGCCGCTAAGTGGGTTGGGACTCAGAAGGTTGCTGGTTCAAATCCCTGGGTCGGCAGAGAGGTCCACTGAGCAAGGCCCTTAGCTCCAGGGGATGCTTACAGCTGTCCTGAAGAAGGTCCCACATATATGCTCAGCATGCATTGGTGGCTTTTCCCTCACTTTCTGGTCAGACTCCTCCAAAACCGTCTCTACTGTGGTTAGGTCAGGTGGCCAGGTCACGTGATGAGACACTTGGTTTAGTGCGTCCAAACTTTTGACTGGCGCTGAATAGCATTTTATCACACCTTTGATTTCTCTCTTCTTTTTCCAGGCCAGCCAGCCAGTCTTCCCCCAGCCCCACAGTGGTCAACAAGCCCCTTCTGCCAGCACCGCCCCAGCGCCCCCCCCGGGCACCACCCCTGCTCCCCCCTCTGATCCTACCCCCAGCTCTGTCCCTGGCGCCACCCTGGGAGCCCCAGGAGAGACGTTGAACCCAGAGCTCTTCACCGGCATTGTTCAGGGAGTGCTGTCCACCATGATGGGCTCTCTGGGGGCTTCCCAGAACAATACCGAAACCATCGCCCAGTTTATCCAGAGAGTGTCCCAGACAGAAAGCTTATTCGCGCCCAGCACGGGGGATGCCACAGGTATTCTTTAGGAAAGCGCTGCATACAATTTCTCCCTTGTTTCCGTCGTTTGACGTAACCTGTTTATCAGATCGAGTGTCCATCTACCTCACTCGATGTGTATGCCACATAGTACTGAGTCACTGTTTCTTTAAAAAGACTGAAACCACTATCAATAGGGGGGAAAAAACATGCTATTTCCTTTCTTTCTATCTCGAATTGCATCCCCTGTCTGTTGTCATTGGGCGTGTGGCTTTGTCTCTCCACGCCTCTGTAGGCTTTTTTGTAGACCTGCTGTCCCTGGTCTGGCAGAACTTCACCATGATGGACATGGTGCTGCTGTTGCATGGTCAGCACCAGCCCCTCAGCCGCATTCAGCCCCAGCTTTCCCAGTTCTTTACAGAGCACTACCTGCGTGGGAGGGAGCCCACCGACGCCAACATCTCTGTGAGCACCACTCTGGACGCCCGGGACATGAGCAGAGCCTCACCGTAGTGTTACTGTGATCTTACACACACCCAGCAATTTTCATAACACAACTTGGTCTACTCTTAAATTTCATTTGTACTCTGTGCACGCAGCACTATAAACGGACTGTTTCCCATTAGTGCACAGCACCAGTCAAAAGTCTGGATATACTTGCTTTTAATGCATTTGTCTCTATTTTGCCTTATAGTAAAGGACCTTGAGGCAATGAAGTAATCTATCATATACTCCAACGACCAAGAGATGTGTTCAATATCTCAAAATTTTCTAAAATTTTAGATTCTTCAAAATAACCCCCTTTGCTTTGATGACAACATTACAGACTCTTGGCATTTTTTTCAACCAGCTGTCAGATGTAGCCACCTGGAATGCTTCTCCAACAGTCCTGAAGGGTTTTCCATAACTTCTGGGCACAAGTTGGCTACCTTGCTCTTACTCGTCGATGCAACTCATCCCACGGCAGCTCTATATGGTTTAGGTCGGGGGGGGGCAGCTCATCTGTCACAGCCCTCCATCTCATTCCTTGGTCACAAGATAATACTTACTGCATAATCTCAAGCTGTGCTAATGGTTACCAAGGCAAATGATTTACAGTTGGTGTGTCCAGACTTTTCACTGGTACTGTATATGAAGTTAGACACAAATTGATTTTCGTATTTCACGCATGCAGGCAGCAGCCGAAGAGCTTATCAATGGGCTTGATGAGCACATCACAGAGACCTTTGTGAGTGCCGCGGTCGTCTCTCTCTGCAGCACACGCTAAATTCTGTTTCACCAGTCAGACTTTAACCACCCCCCATTTCCTCGTCAGTCCTCGGCGACTGTGCTAGAAGGTGTGGACATCACCCAAACCAACCTGTCCTTCCTCACGCGGCAGTTCACACAGATCGCCACGCACGTGTTGTGCTGCAATGGTGAGTGTGGGATTTTATGTATGACCCCTGTGGTGCTTTTATTTTATTACCACTGTATTACGATTACCAGCACCATCTCACTTGTGCTCTTAGCTTTTAATCTCTGTAGTGAAGTAATTTTAAAAAGGACCCAAACTTAGGTGTTTCAGGTAAAAGTCTAGCGTTAATGATTAATGGGGAACTTTTAGCGTGCTCGTCAACCTTCTATTTTAAGGGGCCTCGCCCTTCGTCTATATAACCACGGGAATCGAAACCTGCATCATATTGCTGGTTTTCTGTATCTTGGGATTTCCTGGTGCATGCCTAAGTTCCTGAGTCAGTACTTGGAGTCATTTTCGATTATGCAAAAAGGGATATGGCGGCATGAATGCGGCCTTCATAACCCGTCCAGCTCACCGCTCCGTCCGCCGTCGACCTTCTCGTCCCTGCAGACGATTCCTTTGGGAGCCGCTTGCTGTTGATGTGCAACCAGGTTCTGTTCGAGTGTCTGGCCCTCAACCTCTACTGCCTGCGGGGGGAGCAGATCGCGCTCACTGACGTCATCAACCATCGCATAGTTAGTGGAAAAGACATTGGCCACTCTGCCGTCTACCTATGTCCTCTTTCTTGACTTTGGTCCTTCTGGTTGTTGGATAAATGCTGCTATACCTGGTTTTATAATGGTGCTTTTATTGGGTACATTTAGGGAGTCGGTCATATAGAGGTGGTTATGATCAGATGTTCAGTGTTGGGGTCATGAAACTGTCCATAGTATGTGGATTAGGTCTTGCTCCGAGAACATTTACCCTCTCTGTGGTGTTGATGACGTCATGCTCCAGCCCGTAAGACTCTCCCCTCTCTCTGCTCTTCATGCAGCGAAGCATGTCCACAGAGGTGAACCCCAGTTTGGTCAACTGGCTGACCAGCATGATGTCCATGAGGCTGCAGGTCATCCTGGAGCACATTCCAGTCACTGAAGAGCAGATCCTGCATTATGTCATCCGCACGCAGGTTTTTGTTTCACCTCGGACAAGCATTCACACGCAAGGCTGGGTATTTCCCAGCGTGTACGCCTGCGGACAGGTAATACCTGTTAGACTCACCGTTCGAGCGAGTCACGCCGATTTGTTCTGCTCCGCAGGATATGTCAGAGGACGGGGAGGAATCCGAGATGCAGCAAGCATCGAGGCCTGTGGACGTGAGTGCATACCTTCCACTGCGTCCGCTTTAGGTGTAAATTCCCGTCTGTAGCTTATGCGACTTCCGTCTGACTAGATGGAGGAGGGTCGCTCCCCCACCCCCGCCACCACTGCGGAGGAGGCCATGACGTCACCGCGGGACTGCAGGACTGAGGCGGCCGTCCGGCCCGGGGGCGCCATCGGGATGGAAGGCGCTTTGCCGGGAGTGGCTGGCGGAGAGGTCAGCGAGATGACGGAAGAGGGAGAGGCCTGGGCTACGGCGGTTCCTCCTGTAAGGACCGGCGCTTTCCTGTCGTCCTACGACTCCTCCCTGTCCGCTGACCATCTGGCAGCGTCTCTGCTCTGCAAGTTCACATTCCTCCTTCCAGCTTCTCCTCCCTTTCATTGAGACGCCCCTTTTCGATATGATGTCATCCCGGCACACCTGGTATACTGCCATTTCTCCTCCCGGCTCTTTTAGGAGTGGGTACCCATTATCCGACAGGACATAGTGTCCCAGAGGAAGATAAAAGCCCAGCCCCCCCTCTCAGATGCCTACTTACACGGGATGCCAGCCAAACGTAGGAAGGTAACAAGCGGAATAATAGAATTCTGTCTATCCCAATCAATGTCCCCCCCCCCCAGTGATTTTCGTACGTGTCGTATAATTGCTCGTCAAAGACGTTAGTGTTCCCGAGGTGTTGTACTGGGTCGTTTCAAAGCTGGCGCTCCCTTTTTCTGAGACGGCACAGGGCGATGGGCTCCACGTCTCTCTCGCTGAAGCCGTCAGTCAGGCAGCAAAGTCAGTGGGAGCCAAGCCAGTCACTTCCCCAGAGAGCCTTCAGGGGGAGCTAGAAAGCTCTGACCTTCAAGACGAATACATGGAACAGGTAATGTCCGACGACTAACTATTGAAAGCTTATCAATATCCAGGTTTCCCAATGTTATGCTGTGGGAATTTCCTAATAGACTTTTGCTTCTCTCTCAGGTGCAACATGACATGAATAAACGAGTAAGTGAGGACCCAAACTACAGCGCTCAGCGATTCCCCAACACACAAAAGGCTTTTTCACTGGACTCTTAATGTCATTGGTTGGCACACGTGTCTGAGCGATGACATTTTGCTGTTGAGCAAACGTACCTTGCAAGTTTTTCCTCCTGCTTTGATTGGATTTGAAGTATCAGAAACTAAACCCAGGTTGTACGGAGAATGCTGTCAGTTATCCATGCAGCATTTTTGGTTTACAAGGCCTGCATTTTGACATAATGATCCCACTTAAACTGATAAGCTTTAGCTTTGCCTGAACCTGTGGATATATTGAAAAGTCCATCTTTGGTCCATTCTTTTATTAACTGAATACAGGAACCTTGAAAAGTTACTTTCATCCCTTCCCAAGACATCATCCTTGGTCTGCAAATGATGATTCTTTCTAGACATTTCTGTATGCTTTCAGCTTCTTTGCAAACGCTCTATTTTGTGATTTATTTTATGTTTGAATGAACATTCGAAGAGCGACAAGGCAATAAAAGGTTGTGGCAATGGTAATAGCGTTACATGTGGAGACGACGGCAGTAATGATGTCATATTCTTACTGTCACCTTGATTGTCTGGTTGTAAGCCTTTTATGTGTCCTAATTAGGAGATCTGGGTTGGTGAAATGACAAGTTATGTTAAATATTTATTTTTTTGTTGAGGTTAGAGTGATTATGCAGTTATATGGTGTTAAACGATTTTGATTTAGAAACATTTCCATCCCAAATCACCCTTTGTGTTTTTGTCCAGTGGTTGTTTAAAATTAAAACGTTTGCCAATGAATGCACTGACATTTGATTATTAATTCAGTCCCATTTAAGATTATATATGCACCCTTACTTAGAGTAATATATCCATATCCGTATAGTTGTATCCCACCAACACGTCCAAAGAAGTTACCTAGAGTTTATAAGTGAAAGGCACCCTAAAAGAGTTGTGTTCTTAGGTAAATAAATATATTTATCATTTATTCTGCCCTTGCTGCTTATCCATGGATATAACTGCAACCTACATGAATCATATGCAGTATAAATCCATTCTTAATAATATATAATATAATTTGTAAATGGAGACAGAATTCCGGGATTGGAGTATGTATTGAATATATCGGCGTTACTGGCTAACCTGAATACACCTTGGTGTTTGTCATATTGCAGTACAACATGAAGAATCTAATATGCTAGAGTGAAAGCTTATTGACAAAGTAAGCAAGTTTTGAACGAGCTCTTATTGCAAAATGTCTCCTGTCCGTATGTTGTAAGCAAACAACTGTCAAGACATTTCCATGATGCATGTGGGTGGATTAGAGGAGTTACGCAGTGAAGGTGGCAGGTGAAGCAGCTTACAGGAGACTAGGATTAAACTACATGCAAGTATTCAGAGAATATACAACCCATAATATATGTGGTTCTTATAGAATTATTCATGAAGTATTACTGAAATAAAGCCTTAATGAATACATTTCAAACAGTTCACCATTATGGGTATGGATAAGGTAGTATAGTCTGTACTAGGTTAACAATGAAATCTTACAAGTTTTGCCTACTGAAAAGTTTTAATGGTTTTTAAACATGCCAGTATATGTGTAAAGTTTATTCATGATTAAAAATGCACAATAAACATAGACATGAATACGATGATAGAGTAATATTTTCAAAATTGATGTAGATTCTGTTATGTAATGAGAATACTGCCCGTGACTATACTGCCCCACAAAGGCAAAACAGAGTAACTATGCTCAGGCTGAGAAAAAGGGCTTCAGTTTTGTTTTGTTTTTTACAGTAGGAGTAGTATTTAGGTAAACGCACAACAACACTCATGTCAAACTGGTTTCTTGAACATGACAATGAGTTCCCTGTACTCAAATGGCCTCCAGTCACCAAATCTCAATCCAGTAGAGCAGCTGTGCGATGTGGTGGAATGGGAGATTCGCAGATTCGTATCATGAAGGTGCAGCTGACAAATCTGAAGCAACTGTGTGATGCTATTACATCAGTATGGACCAGAGTCTCTGAGGAATGCTCCAAATAACTTGTTTGATCGATGCCATGAAGAAATAAGGCAGTTCTGAAGGCAACAAAGGGTCCAACCTGGGGCTAGCAAGGTGTACCTAATAAAGTGGCCAGTGAATGTATTTTTTTGCACATAAGTCATTCAGTGTAGAAATATAGAACAAATACTAGACTATTATTCACCCTTCATGTTGTCCATATTGTTTCTATTTAGAACAGGGCCATGGTGAGCTTTGGGATTTCCCAAGAAACATGGAACACAAGGCAGGGGACACCCTGGATGGGATGTTAGTCCACGCTCACAAGTTTTGGACAATTTAGATTCACCAGTTCACTTAAGTTCATATGTTCACCTATGTGAAACCTACATAAACACAAGAACATGCAAATTTAATATACACCCAGTACAAGATATGAGCTCTTACCCAGACAGATGAGAAGCCATGATGTCATCCACTGCATCACTGTGCCTTCCCAACTAGAGTATTATACAACAATAATTAAAAAAATCAAATTCACCGTCACTTAAATAATGAAAATGTACTTTATTGTGTAGTATCATTAACTTTTTAAATTACATCTCTATTTATAACATCTGTGGATCTACAAATTACCAAAAGAGCTTGATCTAAGAGGTCCCACTCAAATCAAGACAACAAAACCATACCTCTGTGCTTGAACTCATTTTGAATTAATTCAGAGATGTTTAATCAGGATTACGCTGGTCCAGAAACACACAACCTTTTTGAGTTAATACTGACCTCACTTTTCATTTTAGATAGCCATTAGCTCACCTCAGGGGGACGTACCCAAAATAATGTAAGGCAGGGGAAAACCATGGGTAATTTCGACCACAAAAACAAGGAACTCTTACAGACAGTAGCATCTATAGTAGACTGTACCTCAGCTATTTTCACTTTTCTGAAATTTTGAGAAATGAAAAATGTGGTAAAAATTCAGGGCTTTTTCAACATTAACTTCAAAAAATTTTAAAAAGCACCTTCAACAAATTATTTACAGTGCTGACTATATGACTACAACTTCGAAGAAGAATTATGGTACAATCATTTTTCCAGGCATCTTCTAACCAAGCATCCTGTTCAGGGTCACCTGGAGCTCATCGCAGGCAGCACAGGACTGGCATACATGTGCAACAAGCATGTCTTTGAGCTATGGGAGAAAAGGGGAAACTCCAGTAGAGACCCCCAATCCTGGATGTGTTACCATGCCACCCCCACCTGCACATTTATGATGTTCAAAAAAATGACAGTCCAATGCCTGCTGCACTGCAGTAGTTTTAACTTATTGAATTCTACTCTCAGACGTGTGTAGTTAAGATTTCATTAGCCTTATTAATGTTTTTTCAGAACTGCGCGAAAGCACTGCTTTTGACCAATCATGTCATGCAACACGCGGAATTTTGAACCGCATTTAAGGTGGACTCAACTGATACGATTTCATTTACTAACCAACACCGAAGTAGCAGATTTAATGAAATGCTGCGCTAAGATGGCTCGAGATACCAGTTTACAGTGCAAGAACACACCCAACGGTGCAACAAACCGTGACAATAACATACTATACGCATACATTATGCTACTGATGATAAGCACTAGTTAACGTTTATTAAAGTAATAAATACATTAACTCGTGATCTAGTATAAACGGTGAGAAGACTGGTGGATGGGTGAATATATTAATATATATTAAATAATAATATAAATAGTATATATGAGAATAATGTGGACCCTACGATCGACTATGAAACATGAGTAATATATCAAGACGCCATCAGTTCCGGGCGCCATTAAATAGGAGCGCAGCAGGAACAGTTACTCCGCAAGTCCCAGAAATCCCACGTGTGGGACGTCAAACGCGTCACGGACTATATAAACAGATCGCCCTCCTTCGCAGCCTCATTCCAGGATTTGTGTAGAGGTGAGTATGGTGCTGGAGTTCATCCTCAGTACTGCAGAAAAAAAAAAAAATCATTGCGCATTTGAAAATAATAAGCCTTCCCATCAAAGAAACATACCCACATGACATTCTGCCGGTTTGTATGTATTATCAGTGCATTAGTCGCTAATTTGTACTTATTTTTCCCCACTCGATTGCAGGTCTCATCCCTTCCTGTGAAGATTGATCGTCGAGGATTTTGAAGAGAAATGCCAAAAACGACCTGATTTTTTTTGCTCTATCAATTAACGGACGATTGATGTTTTTTTTTTTTTGTCTCCACCTTTTGTTCCCGAGGGAAAAGGCTTTGCCTCTATCAAAAGCCCGCCCATAAATGGCCAAAACGCCAATTTGAAGTCCTATATATTTGAGCTAGCTGATTAACTAATCATGAGATTATTTAATTAGGCTGTTGTATCAACTGATTTGTTGCTTTTAAGCACAAACCATTTTACCAGAGGCGCTGAAAGGAGATACTGATAGTAAGTGTCGATTTTTCAAAGACATTTAAATTATGCACCGGCCACAGTTTGTTTAAAATGGAATTGCTATGAAACATAGCAAGCTAGCTAACCTGCAATATTGACTTGATAAGTGTAGCTAGCTATAGCCAGTCGCTGTGCATTTTGCAGTCTCGATTAATAAGGGCTATTGTGGCCATCGGTTAAAGTTATTTATGAGCTCACACGATAAAGACGTCGGGGGCTAGTCGCTTGGAGTATAAAAACCTCGGCGTCTTTGTGTGTGAGACGAGTTACCAAACAGTAAATAGCCATTAACTAGCATCTGGCTATATATGTGTGTGTCTGAGTGTGTGAATATATAAAAATATAAGCAATCTCCCCATAAAGATTGCCTCACATTAAGGTAGGACTTGGCATAATATATATTTTTTCGTCAAATCTCTGAATCTTTCCCCCGCCAGATCCATGGACAGTACAATATAAATATAAAATGCTGCTTTTACCGACGAGCCTATGGATTCCTCTATAGCGAATAGAGAAGTGGGGGTAGAATGCCAGCTATTATTAATCTGCACGCAATCCCGCTGGCTAGCCGGCGTTAGCTGTGTCGTCGCCAGCCGAAATCGAATAAACTTAAAACTTAGCCGTACGGCAGAAAATGCAATCTGGTGATAAAGATTGCAAACTCGTAGCGCCGCGGATAAAATGTGGGATTTTCATTACGGGACGGTAGTTTTATTTGTTCGGAAGCGTGAGACAGAGACAAGATGGCGGCCGAGCTGTTGTTTTATCTCGGGCGGGAGAGAAGGAGGCGGCCGCGCGGAGACAAAGATGACGGGCGGATAGCGGCACCATTTGTGCGCGGCACTGAAGAGAACACTGAAAATGGCCCGATTTGCAAAAAAAGAAGATTAAGATTTACGCCCTTGTGATTATATAACGCTGGATATTAGCAAACAGCGTAGTGAATATTTATGAATGTTTACCAAGGCGCCTTGATGACAATGGCGAAGACTTTCCTTCTCACTCTCAGGAAACCAAATGAGGCCACTGCGCCTCGGTTATACTCAGCAGATTTACGCTGAATTTTTTTTGGCCTCCAGACTTAACCCCCTCGTTTTAAACTACTTTACCGAGTCCCGTTTTTCCAGAGGAATTGCGATTGTGCGTATTAATGTGAAGCTTTAGTTTAGAACTTGACAAAAAATAATGTGTATTGCACACAAAGTTGTGCAGTGTGCTTTATTAGTGAAGTAAAACTTAACAAAGCTTTAGAAAGAATTCATAAGTTAGTTTATACATCAGACTACCAGACATCCATGACTAAAGGTCATGACAAATAACCCATGAA